CTGTATTTACTTACTTACTTACTTACTTACTTACTTACTTACTTACTTACTTACTTACTTACTTACTTACTTACTTACTTACTTACTTACTTACTTACTTACTTACTTACTTATACCCCGCCTATCTGGTCATTGCGACCACTCTAGGCGGCTTACAACAAATGTAAAACAGATATGTGCATTAAAAATGATTTACATAATTTAAAATTGCATTAAATCTTCTTAATTGTATGCGTTTTCAATGATCTCATCAGTTTTTCATTAAATAACCCAGCCCCATTAAAGGATAGCTCTTCTATGCGTGCTTTAGCTTCCTCAGCAATCCCTGACAATCTTAGCCAAGCATGGTGTCTTAACGCAATTGTTGACACCAAGGACTTGGAAGCAAACTCAGCCGCATGGTGGGATGCTACTCTTTGATGTTTTGTCACAGTTGAAGCCTCAGCATGGGCGTTAAACAGTGCTGTTCTAGTTTCCTCAGGGGCTGCTTGAAGGGCAGAAAGGACTTTGGCCCAAAGTTGTTTTTGATATGCCCCTAATGCTGCTTGGTAGTTTGATGCCCTAAACAAAAAAGAAGCAAAGGAATACATTCTATGCCCGAGCACATCCAACTTTCTCCCCTCATAATTGGTAGGAGTGACCTTAGCCTTTGATTGAACAATAATGCAATTAGGAGCCGGATATTTTGAGAGAAACAGGGTGTCATCTCCATGGTTCTGTAATGCCCCTCCATTCTTCTAGAAATTTGCATTGAAGATGATGGTAAGCTCCCAACTTCCTTATTGGTATCCATCATGGCTTGAATAAAGGCTAGGCTTAATGGCTGAGTCATTTCTTGATTAATGTAATCAAACGCCATATCTTGTTTGGGAGATGGTGGCTGTTCAACATTTAGCTGTAGGCACTTGACCATTCTGGATATCATTTGAAAATGTGAGGTAAAATCCTGAGAAGGGGATGGAGGGCGTAAGTCCCCAACATCCAAATCCGGTGTGTTTATATTAGGAGGAGCGTCTTCACCTATGTATAAGGAATCATCATCATTGGAGACAGATGATGCTGAGGAGTCTTCTTGGAAAGAAGGAGAGGGTGAACGTGACTTACGGTGTCTCTTTGTAGTTTGAGTCGAAGTAGAATTTTTTGTAAGTTGTTGCAATTGATTGGTATATTGATGCTTTGTATGTAGCAGGTACGGAAACAGAGAGGTTTCTGGTCTTAGGTGTCATTTCTGCCTGCTTGGTCGAGTCCTGACGTGATTGTCGATGTTTGGTAGATTTCGATGTCGAAATTTCAGTGTCATGACTCAATCGACGCCAACGCCTAGGTGGTGAAGAAGATGTGGAAGAGGAGGAAGCATAGACATACGGTCTACGATTACCCCGTTTAACGACAAATCCGCTTGACGGTGGTAAATTACGGGGCTGATCCTTAGAAGAAGGCTTATCCTTCTTGTTTAACAGAGGACTTTTCTTCAACTCAGTAGCTGTGATGTTTGAGGTTGACGTGGAAGCCAATGTTGAAGATTTCTTTGACCCCAATCCTGATGTTCTTTTGAGGGACTTTGTCAGAGACCTCGGTGCAGAAGCAGCCAGTAAGGATGCTACTGGAGGATCCGAATGGGGGGTAGCTGTTTGTGCTGGGGTAGATTCCATGGCCGGTTTGGAGGGGGAAAGAGATTTATCCCACAGGTAAGCCTGAAGCCTGCACTCCTGCAACTTCAGAGCAGGCTTAGAAAGTCTTCTACACTGAGGGCAGGCTTGAGGTTGATGTTCTTTCCCCAAACAATAAAGGCAATGCCTGTCTTTAAGAGGTATTTTTGTGGCACAAGAAACGCAGCACTTAAACAGTCCTGAGGGGGCCATAAACCAATGCGGAACCCAAGGGAGAATCCAATCCAAATAACTCACTGAGGCAAAATCCCGTAGATTCGCTAGTGACACAGAAGCAATGTACAGTCCGAATTCAGTCCGGGAAAACCTCAAATTGCCGAAACAAGTCCGTAGAGAAAAGGCGGGAATCAATAAACAGTCCAAAGATCAAGCCAGGAACAATGTGCAATCATGTCCAAAATTCAAATCCAAAATCTAAAAACGTAGACAAGTTAGCCAGTAGTCAAAACCGTGAAGATTAGTATTTAGTTTCACAAAAAGATAGAGAGCTCTAGCAAAGAGGTTCCATTCGCAGTGGCGGAAAAAATTGAACTGAGGTGCACAGGTGGGTGGAGCATGCATGGTAGGACAATGTGCTACTAATGTTTCTTATCTTAAGCTCTAGAATATTCCGAGGATCCAGCGCAAGCACGGTTTATACCCAGTTGTGTGCATTCACAGAGGCCACGTTGAAAAATAAATGTTTTCATTGTCTGTTCACACACATAAAAACAAAAGAGTGTAGATTATTAATGAGGCTGTGATTCAGCTCCTTTAATATTCATTTGATCTATAAAAATGAAATAAAATAATAAAGAAAAATAAAAGAAAAATAAAAGTAAGTTTTTCTCTATTCACCAAATTTAAATGGTAGGTTTGGGATGGTTTGACTTAACACCAGACAATGTAGCATATACAAAAATCACTTTGAGATTCTCCAGTTAGTTTATCATAATGAGTGAATGGATTTTTACTGAAGTTAGAGGATTTCTCTGGGGTGCTGTGACTTCATGAATATCAAGGTCATTGTGTAGATACAGCAGCAGTAGCAGCTCAAAAGCATACAAGATAATGAAAAAGACAATGTGCTTCTTGGCATGTCTGAATGGCATATCCTGAAGCAGCAAGGAAGAACCCAAAACTTAGAATTGTCAAATTGGTTATATCCAATTCTGTTAGATCTCCAGTCCAAAGCCTGAGACACAGAGAACGAATGTTACTCTTAGGGTTAAACCTAAGATGTTGAAACCCTTCCCTGATACAGACCATAAGGCTTAGCACACCTCTGCTTTGAAATACATGCCTTTCTGAACTTCTCCATTTGTTTGAAAGTGTCAGGATCCAGTTCTTGAGAAGCATCCTTCATCCACAGCAAAGTCCCTCTATACTCTGTGCGTGCTTCCTCCATTCGGATGACTGTTAGCAAGGTATCGGACACAGCCCTCTGATTAAATGTCGCAAGTTCTTGTCCAAGGCGAGACAAAGCAGTGCGAAGAGCTAGCCTGAAGATAAAAGGCAGGAAAGAACTTTATTACAGATCACTTAATCCTGATTTTACATACTATATGCTAGTGGGATAAGAGCAATATAGGATAGACAACTCAATGAGCAGTCCTATAACATATATTAATACTGTACAAAAAAATCAATATTTATTTCAGTAATGGATTCATTGTATTATTTTTGTAGCAATTATAACAAATTCAGTTCTGAGTAACAGCATTAAATAAAATATCACCACCATTAACACATGCAAACAAACCTTTGTTGGGAAGAACCATAGAGGGCTTGGCCAGTGGCATCAAGCATTCTGTTAATCTGCCCTTCACCCCGGGCTGCCTGAAACTTTAAGAAGTCTCCCAGTCCATTTTCCTGTTTAGACAAAACTGCAAAAGAAAGAAACAAGTAAATGTTTAAATTTTATTTTCATGCATGGGAAATAAAAAACATTTGTCATAATTGTTGTAACTTTCATTGGATAGATTTGTTCATAAAAGAATATGGAAGTTTTTGCATTCACAGGATTGCTTCAGATAGTAGTGAAAATGTCAAAGGCATAATCCTGCCTGTTTTGCACATGTCAGTAATATGGAACTGCTTTGTATAGCAAGTATGTAATAAATTAAAGAAAAGGTAAAAAGCAGCTTAAAATTAATGTGAATTTCTGATTCACTAATAGTGGGCACACTATATCTACTGTTATATCAGGTAGATTTCAGTAAGAATGATTTCAAAATGGACCTATTCTTCCTGGAAGCAATGGCATGCAAAAGAATGTAGCATTAGCTGAATTGTGTCCGATATGATCATCTTAAAAATTTTTTCATATGCCAGGCACTCTACCTCTTGTCCTTCATGGAAACAGGTTAAACAGGTTAAAATGGTGCTTTTTAAGGAGGCCTTATGAATTTTCTCCTCCTATGACTGACCCATTATATTAGAATTTTTTTGCTGCTTTCACCTCTCAGTTTTGTGTTTTATTAATTTACTTTGGTTATTATTACTTAATTTGTTCATTTACATGATGGGTGGGTTTTAATGTAACAGTCCAGAGTATGGCTTGCCACTAGGTGGGCTGCTGTATGTATGGATGTATGGATGTATGGATGTATGGAAGGAAGGAAGGAAGGAAGGAAGGAAGGAAGGAAGGAAGGAAGGAAGGAAGGAAGGAAGGAAGGAAGGAAGGAAGGAAGGAAGGAAGGAAGGAAGGAAGGAAGGAAGGAAGGAAGGAAGGAATTATTTTACTGTTGGTTGTTTATATTACTGTCCATCTACCAGCAAAGAGACATGACTGACAGAGGAAACCCCTGTCTCTTGTTATTCTCACATCAGTTCCAGAGTGTAGTCCACAGGAGCATTCTGAAGGAGCATGCAAGGGATGCAGATACAACTGTAAAATTCTCCTGCCCAAATTTGCCTCCAGACTGCGAAATTGTGGCATTTGTCCCCAAAACACTGCATTCATACTTCAGGATGCATATTTTGCACATATGTACACTTTTATGAACAATGTATCATAGAATAAAATCAACATGGCTCCATTTATGTACTCTTCGATGTATGTACTTCTCTAGCCACAAAGTTTCACTTCAACTTGCAGCTGGAGAATTGACCTACAGACTCAAATGCTTTCCCTGCCTCCCCCTTCCAGTCTGTAAGCAGCTGCTCCAGCTGCAAGTCGACTGGAAATCTTGCGGCCGGGGAAGTCCGGACCTCAAAAAGTACGTCAAGGGTCCTCTCTCTCTCTCTGTGTGTGTGTGTGTGTGTGTGTGTGCGTGCGTGCATGCCTTTAGATATATACAGTGGTGCCCCACATAGCAACGATAATCCGTGCAACCAAAATCGTCACTATACGGATTTGTCACTATGCGAAATAAAAAAGGCCATAGGAATGCATTAAAACCCGTTTAATGCGTTCCTATGGGCAAAAAAAAATCACCTTTATGCGAAAATCCTCCATATGGCTGCCATTTTCGCTGCCCGGTAAGCGAGGAATCTGGGCGAAAACACAGAGGGCGGCCATTTTTTTACCCGGCGGCCACTTTGGAACCGCCGATCAGCTGTTGGGAAATCATCGTTATGGGAAAATTGGTAAGCGAAACAGCTTACCAATCATCGCACCAGGGGAGGGCTTCCCCCGGTAGTCCCAGTCTACTGCCTGGGAAAGCGTGGTAGACCAGCCCTACCAGGGGAGGGCTTCCCCTGGTAGGCCTGGTCTACTCCCTGGGAAAGCCTGGGGTGTAGACCGGGCCTACTGGGGGAAGCCTTCCCTGGTAGACCCAGTCCACCCTGGGAAAGCCTGCGTCGGCAGGGGCGGGGGACCTCCGAGAGGTGTCAGGCAGCAGAGGAAGGCTTCGGAAAATAAGGTTTAATTTTTTTAATTTACTTAAATTTTTTGTGGGGGGGGTGTTCTTGGGCGGGTTACGGATTACAGGGTTTTCAATGCATTCCTATGGGAAATGCATTTTCAACCTATGGACTTTTCCACCTATGAACACCATTCCAATATGGATTAATTCCGTACGTTGAGGGTCCACTGTATCTGTGTCCATTTTTGAAACAACGACAAAAATAAATTAGGCTCAATTCTAAGCATTTGAACAAATTGCTGATTTTTAAAATTTTAACTCCCTGCATTCTTTACCATTGGCCATGTTGGTTAGAAGTGATGGGAATAGTAATCCAAAAGCATCTAGAGCACCACACTATATCCCTGTTAAAGCTGCCACATCTATATTGTTGAAGGTGTACCTAATCAGGTGTTAAATTCTGTTACCTTATTGGTATGGGTCTTTTTCTTCTTTGGTTGTTCTTCAGAACTACATTTTTCTCTCTTGTTACAATAATGTAATAATTGTATATTTAGAAGTGGAGGATTGGCAAGCAACCTTGTGGTCATCCCAGAAAGAAACTGGGCCCTTTGAGCATTCAGTTCCATCTGTAGATGTCTGAAGCATTAAAAAAGACTTAAAGAAACTAGATTTCTCTTGTGTCCCCAAGGAAAAACACCATGAGGGTCAAGACACAGCCGCCTTTGAAAATGGTATGCTATGACTACAAGCAAAGAAGGCCTTGCTGTTGTAGTCATAGCATACATAAGAATGATGGTAACTTACTGTTCATTTCACAGTGCTGGAGGGTGGAAACAGAAAAGGCAGAGAAGCTCCACCTTAATCTTTGACAAAAATTAGAGAGGACTAGTTTTATGGTAAAACACTTCCTACTGCATAGGACTGAAACGAAAATATGCCAAAGGCATGCCAGGTATGCTGTCTCCCTGGAGGATGGATTAGGGAATTGGAAAAAAATATTGCCATCACTCATAAAACCGATGGATACATATCTCTTTCTTCTCGTCCATGTGGGAACAAATGACACAGCCAAGATGAACTATATTTTAAAAAATCATATCAGACTTTGAAGCTCTGGGAAGAAAACTCAAGGACTTTGGAGCCCAGATAATCTTCTTGTCCATCCTACCAGTAAAAAAAGAAGAATAGAAAGGAAAAGGGAAATACACCAAGCGAATTACTAGCTACAAAGGATCACAGGATATACTTTGTGGAAGAGGTACTACTGGCAAGGGATGGGTTGCACCTCACAAGGACTAGGATGAACATGTTTGGCCACAGCATGAAGAACTTCATCAGAAAAGCTTTATACTAAATTGCAAGGGGGAGGGAGATGCAAACTCAGAGGTAAAGACAGATGAAGGCTTAATCACAACAAGACAAACACAGCAAGCAGCTCCAGTAGGGCCCAATAATAGTCTTCACAAAAATGTATGAAAGACATCACAATTTCCAGTATCTATATATGAATGCTAGGAGTATGGGAAACAAACAAGAAGAAGTGGAAATCTTAGTTCAGAAGGATAAACATAACTTGATAGGGATAACAGAAGCCTGACTTCCATAAATGGAATACAGTGAATGAAGGATATTAATTTTTCAAAAAGAACACGTAGAAAAAGAGTTGCACAAAATACATATTCCTGTACAGAAATACAAGACATTAAAATGGGTTATCCTTTCAGGAACACCTGAATTAAAATAAGTGGAATGAAAAATAAAAAGAATATGATAATTGGAACATGAGGGTCAAGACACAGCCGCCTTTGAAAATGGTATGCTATGACTACAAGCAAAGAAGGCCTTGCTGTTGTAGTCATAGCATACATAAGAATGATGGTAACTTACTGTTCATTTCACAGTGCTGGAGGGTGGAAACAGAAAAGGCAGAGAAGCTCCACCTTAATCTTTGACAAAAATTAGAGAGGACTAGTTTTATGGTAAAACACTTCCTACTGCATAGGACTGAAACGAAAATATGCCAAAGGCATGCCAGGTATGCTGTCTCCCTGGAGGATGGATTAGGGAATTGGAAAAAAATATTGCCATCACTCATAAAACCGATGGATACATATCTCTTTCTTCTCGTCCATGTGGGAACAAATGACACAGCCAAGATGAACTATATTTTAAAAAATCATATCAGACTTTGAAGCTCTGGGAAGAAAACTCAAGGACTTTGGAGCCCAGATAATCTTCTTGTCCATCCTACCAGTAAAAAAAGAAGAATAGAAAGGAAAAGGGAAATACACCAAGCGAATTACTAGCTACAAAGGATCACAGGATATACTTTGTGGAAGAGGTACTACTGGCAAGGGATGGGTTGCACCTCACAAGGACTAGGATGAACATGTTTGGCCACAGCATGAAGAACTTCATCAGAAAAGCTTTATACTAAATTGCAAGGGGGAGGGAGATGCAAACTCAGAGGTAAAGACAGATGAAGGCTTAATCACAACAAGACAAACACAGCAAGCAGCTCCAGTAGGGCCCAATAATAGTCTTCACAAAAATGTATGAAAGACATCACAATTTCCAGTATCTATATATGAATGCTAGGAGTATGGGAAACAAACAAGAAGAAGTGGAAATCTTAGTTCAGAAGGATAAACATAACTTGATAGGGATAACAGAAGCCTGACTTCCATAAATGGAATACAGTGAATGAAGGATATTAATTTTTCAAAAAGAACACGTAGAAAAAGAGTTGCACAAAATACATATTCCTGTACAGAAATACAAGACATTAAAATGGGTTATCCTTTCAGGAACACCTGAATTAAAATAAGTGGAATGAAAAATAAAAAGAATATGATAATTGGAATCTACTACCAACCTCCCAATCAAGGAGAAGATGCAGATGAGACTTTTGAAAAACAAATTCCAAGAATTTCAAAGAGACATAGTATCACAGTAATGGGAGACTTCAACTATCTGATATCTATTGGGAGGCTAATTCTGCCAAACATGACCCCTTCCAGGAAATTCCTGATTTGTGCTGTATGCTGTCTCCCTGGAGGATGGATTAGGGAATTGGAAAAAAATATTGCCATCACTCATAAAACCGATGGATACATATCTCTTTCTTCTCGTCCATGTGGGAACAAATGACACAGCCAAGATGAACTATATTTTAAAAAATCATATCAGACTTTGAAGCTCTGGGAAGAAAACTCAAGGACTTTGGAGCCCAGATAATCTTCTTGTCCATCCTACCAGTAAAAAAAGAAGAATAGAAAGGAAAAGGGAAATACACCAAGCGAATTACTAGCTACAAAGGATCACAGGATATACTTTGTGGAAGAGGTACTACTGGCAAGGGATGGGTTGCACCTCACAAGGACTAGGATGAACATGTTTGGCCACAGCATGAAGAACTTCATCAGAAAAGCTTTATACTAAATTGCAAGGGGGAGGGAGATGCAAACTCAGAGGTAAAGACAGATGAAGGCTTAATCACAACAAGACAAACACAGCAAGCAGCTCCAGTAGGGCCCAATAATAGTCTTCACAAAAATGTATGAAAGACATCACAATTTCCAGTATCTATATATGAATGCTAGGAGTATGGGAAACAAACAAGAAGAAGTGGAAATCTTAGTTCAGAAGGATAAACATAACTTGATAGGGATAACAGAAGCCTGACTTCCATAAATGGAATACAGTGAATGAAGGATATTAATTTTTCAAAAAGAACACGTAGAAAAAGAGTTGCACAAAATACATATTCCTGTACAGAAATACAAGACATTAAAATGGGTTATCCTTTCAGGAACACCTGAATTAAAATAAGTGGAATGAAAAATAAAAAGAATATGATAATTGGAATCTACTACCAACCTCCCAATCAAGGAGAAGATGCAGATGAGACTTTTGAAAAACAAATTCCAAGAATTTCAAAGAGACATAGTATCACAGTAATGGGAGACTTCAACTATCTGATATCTATTGGGAGGCTAATTCTGCCAAACATGACCCCTTCCAGGAAATTCCTGATTTGTGCTGCTGATGATTTTCTCCTACAAAAAGTGGAATTAAAAACCTGAGGATCAGCTATCCTTGACTTTATTCTAACCAATAGGAATGATTTGGTCAATAAAGTGGCAGTATGGGGGAACTCTGGGAGAAAGTGACCATGGTCTACTTGAGATCTTGATTTCAAAAGGGAAAAAAGCAGAATGTAACTGCACATATATGCTGGATTGTGGGAAAGCAAATTTTAAAAAATTGAGGACAATGATAAGTTAGGCCTCATGGCAGGAGATCCTAACAAGAAAAGGAATCCAAGATGGATGGTAGTTTCTTCAAAAGAAAATTTTAAAGGCACATCTACAAACAATTCCAACAAGGGAAAAAGGTGGAAGACATTAAAAAAAGAGACCAGAACAGAATTAAATGTGAAGTTCTGCACCAAAGCTTCACACAGGAAGAAAAAAGAAACAAAGGCAAAGTTACAAGATGTGGGATACTTGGCTCAGTGCAAGAAGGATCTTGGAATTTCTGTAGATCATGTGATGCAGTATGATACAACTGCAAAAAGGCCAATATTATTTTAGGCTGCAATAACAGAAATATAGTCTCCACATCCCCTCTATTCAGCACTGGCTAAGCCTCATCCTGAGTACTGTATCCAGTTATGGGTACCCCACTTTAAGAAGGATGCAGACAAATTGGAACAAGTATAGAGGAGGGCAACAAAGATGATCAGACAATTGTAAACCAAGATCTATGAGGAAAGACTGAAAGAACTAGGCATGTTTAGCCTTGAGAAAAGAAGAGTGAGGGAAAATATGGTAGCACTCTTCAAATACTTGAAAGGTTGTCATGCAGAGGAGGGGCAGAACCTGTTCTCAATTATTTCAGACTTCAGGGCAAGCAACAAGAGCTCAAGTTACAGGAAGACAGATTTTAGTTGAATATCAAGAGAAACCTCCTTTCTCTTGATATTCAGCAATATGACAACTGAGGTGGTGAGAACTTCAGCACTGGAGATATTTAAGAGAAAGTTAGGCAACAATTTTACAGATTTACTGTAACTTGGACTCCTGCACTGAGCAGGAGGCTGGACTCTATGGCCTCCTAGGCCCCTTCCAACTCCTTTATTCTATGATTCTATGAATATGTTACCACCACCTGTTGCCTTATCCTTGTCTCCATTGTGAGTTTCCTCCTCCCCCATTCAAATAGCAGGCACTGAGGGCTGGAGCACCTTATAAGAGTTTGGCAAGTCCGTTCCTCTTTGTGAGCACTTCAATTTGGGTTCTCACAGCTCCCCTAATTGCAATAATAAAACCTGTCTAAAAATGGATCACCTTAATTTAATTTTCTTCATTGGATCTAAATTCTGGTTTAACTAGGTTCAACATCAGTAATTCTGCACCTCTAAAAACAATTATTGTGATGTAATAGTAAATGGCTGAATAGCTCATTGGTTTAGGTATCTGGTTGTGGAGCCAGAGGTTGGGAGTTCAGTTCTGTACTATGCTTCCTGTGAGAAGAGCCAGCCTGCATGGCCTTGGGTAAGCTGCAGAGTCCCAGGGGGCCCCTAGAAGAAGGGAATGTTAGCTGCCTAGAGTGGTCCTCACCCGACCAGATAGGCGGGATATAAATTAATTAAATAAATAAATAAAATAAACCACTTCTGTGCATTCACTAACAAGGAAACTCTGGAATGGGTCATCGTGAGTCAGAATTTACTGAATAGCACATGGTTATTATTTTAATAGTAAGTGTAACTCTTAATGAAAAGAATAAAGAATATACCAAGAATTAGAACGCCTGAAAATATTCAATAAGACAGAATAAATGTTTTGTTCATTACATATATTAATTGTGTGTTGTTGTTGTTTTAAACATCACCACTGAGGCTGGCAAATCATCACATTATTGGGCAAATTGAGGAAGACACTGCAGGCAGCAGATGCAGTCTATGTCATGAAAAGTCAGCAAATGGCTTATTATTTAATAGGAAGAATATGTGAGACTGTCTGTGCCATGTGCCAAAATAACTTGGTTATCTGTATATTATGCAACTTGACTTGGGTGGTGGCACAATTTATTGATCTGCTCGGGCAGTAAAATATCTTCAGACAGTCCTAATCACCATAAAGAAATATGAAGATACATTTCTGTTTATTTTACCATTAAGTCTCTGTTGGTATTTTTCAATAATCTTTAGAAGATCTGTGCAGGTAACTTGGATGCTGTGAAAAAACTGTAAAAGAGAAGGATTAGTATATTAATTTGAACAAAGAGACATGAAAACAAAGTTAAAGTAAGTTAACTGTCATTAATTAAACTGACAAATCTCCCAAGTTCAAACTTAAACCAATATCAGCCTGCATTATTAACTGTGCTGGGATATACCAGCAAAATTAGTAGTGTAGTAGTGAATAGAATGACTGGCAGGAGACCTGGGTTCAAAACCCTGCTTAGCCACAAAAACTCACCGGGGCTGTGGAACTGGTAAAGCCACTCATATATCTACTTACCTTGAAAGCCCTATTAGGATCCATATAAATTGGTTCCGACTTGATGGTACACAATAACAACACATAGCTGATGATATGTAAGCATATTTATGGTTACCTCTAATTTGGCATCTAACTCAGCATCATATGCTACCACATATTCATCTTCCTTCTTTCCAGTAACTTTGATTAGAACTTGTTTTGTTTTCCAGTATTTTTTCTGCATTTTACTGACTACTGATTTTTCTTCTGGATTACACTGCTTGAAGGTTTCCATAGAGTAACTAAAACAAAAGAGAAAAAATCATGAAGTTCAATAAAGATGATAAAATTAAAGGAAAATGTTTCTTCAAGCAGTCATTCTGAGTTTTTCCAAAGAAGAGTGACTAAATATCAAGGTCCGATACCATGTACCTTTAAGAGTGTTAAAATGACTATGTAGATTGCAGGAAATTTGTCCTAAAATGAAAGTTATTTTTAAAAAATTCTAGCTTGAAAAAATAGTTTATGTTTTGCAAAACAATAAGCCAGCTCTGGCAGAGCAAGGTCAATGAATTCATAAAATCATGGCAATGTACTGTTTACTGCTTTTCAAGTAATGTTCTGTTTAGAATGGGTAAATATAGATATGAACTTATTGTAAACAAATCCCTGGCCTTGCCTCCTTGTCTAAGTGGTCGGCTGAGGTAGAAGGGAGAAGAGGATGCTGTAAACAGTGAGTGAACCATCATGCTGGGGAGGCGGCAAGGGAACCATGTGTCACCTGAGGAATGGGTGAGTGTGCAGGGGAGGTGGGTACCATTCCCAAACAATACCTGTGCAGGCACGATGACAACTCAGCCTGGATAGGGATGCCTTAATTTGTGCCCATCTCGATTTTTGACAGAAAAAAAGTCACATAGACGCCTAGACTAGGAGAAATGAAGGTAGCACTTTCATAAGGTTAACCATTTAGTCAAAACATACATATTTTATAAACAAAATCATCATAGGAACAACAGTCTGTCCATATTGTTGATATCATGGGGCAAAGCAGCAGTGCCACCAGAAAATAAAGAATGGGATTTCCTCCTTAGATTTCTAACTGACTTGGCTGGGGTGAGCTTTTTTAGAATTTGTATGTGTGTGTGTGTGCATCTAAATATGCTAACAGGCTGAAGAATGTATTTTCTTTAATATGTTTCACTTCTGATAACTATGGTATTTTTAAGTAAGGCAAAAGACTACTTAAAGTTAGAATGTTTTTTAAATGATGCTGTCTGGATGATGCTTTTTCTGTTTAAATGTACCTTGTTAGGCTATAAATTCTTATATTCTTAGATTGTATTGGAAATATTTTCATTGTTCGTTTCACTCTTAAAAGAGTTTTTACTCTTAAAAGATATGTTGCTCCTATATTTTGATTTAAGTTCAATTTTTGTATGTTTTTAAATTATGTGCCTACAGTTTTCTTCATACCTTTTCAATTCTAAAGTGATTTTGTGCAAATGGAACATAAATAAAATGTGTAGAAATAGACAAGCTGATGTCACTTTAAGTTATTTCAACAGTGAATATACTTATACTTCAGTACTCGGATGAATATTAATAATTATTGTCTCAGATTTTTTTTATTCTGGGATTAACCCTTGATTGGGATAAATGCCAACTGTAACAAACACAAATGCCTTTCTTTTTCCCTGGAGATCTTTGGAATTTTTGTAGGACTCCTAGGTATAGTCAAGCACATAAAATCTAGGTCTGATATTGTGTAGTACAGGATGCGTTCATACTACATTATATTACTGATCAGTAGTACACTCTATTAAGTATAAAAGACAACATAGGATTTTCTGACAGATAGGCCACAGTCAGTAAGGATGGGATCTCACCATTCTCCTACCCTGGTACTAAGTACAGGAGCTCCCCAGGGCTGTGTGCTAAGTCCCTTCCTCTATTCCCTGTACACACGATTGCACCCCACTGTATAACACCAATGCAATTATTAAATTTGCAGATGATACGACAGTGGTGGGGCTCATAAATAAGAATAATGAGTCTGCTTATAGAAAGGAAGTACAAAGGTTTATACTTTGGTGTAAAGAAAATCATCTCACACTTAACATCAAAAAAACTAAAGAACTCATAATTGATTTTAGGAGGAAGAGAAATGTACATTTACCACTGTACATAAACGGTGAGGAAGTGGAGAGAGTTGGTAGTTTTAAATTTCTGGGTACTTACATCTCAGAGGACCTCTTGTGGACTATAAATGCCAACATCCTAATGAAGAAGGCACAGAAGAGGCTGTATTTCCTGAGAATGCTCGGCAAGTTAAATTTATCTCAGCATTTACTTCTGTCATACTATCGTAGCACCATTGAGAGTGTCCTAACCTATGGCATTCCGGCATCGTTTGGGAGTAGCTCTGTAGCGGACAAAAAAGCTCTACAGAGAACCATTAAAATTGCCCAGAATATCACCGGGCTCCAGCTACCAACCCTGGATGACATCTGCACATCCCACTGTCTAAGGAAGTCACACAGCATCCTGAGAGACTCTTCCCATCCTGCTTATAACTTTTTTGAACTGTTACCATCTGGCAGAAGATATAGAACAATTAAGACTCGGACCACACGTTTTCTAAATAGTTTTTATCCTAGAGCTATAATTGCAATTAATAATGAGCTTAAAGACCACCAGTAGTGAATAATTAGTTGGACTGTGTTACTTGGACTGAGGTGTAGATGTTTGTATTTTTAGTGGGGGACTTTTAGTGGGTAGGGAGTGTTTGGGGAATTTTATGTGTGTGCATGTGTCTGGTCTCTGGGTGTCTGTGAATTTCGTTGTATGTGTATATACTTACAATGACATAGTACACTGAGTAATTAACTCTTCCAGTCTGTAAGCTTCCCTGCATTATCATTTCTCTGTTATAGATCTATGTGTAAATCAGCATGCACACAGAGAAATGGATCAAGTCAAAAAGTCACTTAAACAAAATATGTATATGCATTAATATTATTTCTGTATGTGATATATCTATAGTGTATGTTAAGTATTAAAAATTCTGCCTAAATAAAATACAACAAACAAAACTACTATATATAAATTACCACTTAAATTCTAGTAAGGGAAGCAAAACAGCAACTGACAAGTACTGCTAAAATAATTGCTGTATTTTTCCGTGTATAACACAATACTTTTTCCTAATATAGTTAGAGCAAAAATTGAGGGTTGCCTTATACACGGAAGTAAGCTGAACCACTGGCATGCAGAGCCCTCTCTGTGGGCATGCAAGCTATGCTGCTGCTGCTGCCCATGCCAGTCCGGTGCAGGGCGCAGTGCCACTTGCTGCCGGGACTCAGCTCAAGTCGCCACCTTGTCCCCTGCAAGAAGGTAGCCCATGGGTGGAGGCGATTGGGCAGTGGCAGCAGGAGGAGGAGGAGGTGAAGCCGAAGGAGGAGCTGTACTCAACCACACCTCGTGGCTGCCCATTGACTGCAGCTCCAGCTCGAGCTCACGCCACTGGAGCCGCAGTCAATGGACAGCCGCAAGGGGCAGCCGAGTGTGGCTCCTCCTTCGCCTCTTGCTGACATTGCCGCCTGATAGCCTCCTCCAGCACCACTCACAGGCTACCTTCAAGCAGGGGACAAGGTGCCAGCATGAGCTTGAGCTGAGCCCTGGCAGCAAGCGTTGCCGTGCCCTGCACCGGGCTGGCATGGGCAGCAGCATCAGCATGGCTCACTCACTCTACTGCAGTGCTGGAGCCACAGCCATGGGCAGCAAATCACGGCTCTTCCTCCGCATCTGGCTGCCACCGCTGCCACCATCACCTAATTGCCTCCCGGCTCTTCCTCCGCATCTGGCTGCCACCGCCGCCACCATCACCTAATTGCCTCCTCCAGTGCCACTGCCGGGGCTCAACTCAAGCTCACTCTGCCACCTTGTCTCTTGCCTGAAGGGAGCCCACGCGTGGCACTGGAGGAGATGATCAGGCAGCGGTGACAGCAGCAGCAGGAGGCGGAGGTGAAGGAAGAGCCGCACTCGGGCACCCCTCAGCACGCATCGTGGCTGCTCACTGACTGCGACTCTGGAGCCGCAATAGAGCGAGTGAGCAGGGTGGAGCACAGTGCAGGAACCTTGGGTGAAGGCCTTGCCTATATTTGTGGAGGTGGGAAAAGGCATCCCCTGGGCAGCCCTCTGGAGGACGCGCTGGCCTAGAGGGTGCCCGTTGATTTGGGCACTCAGGCTCAAAAGGTCAAATTGGGAGCATCTTATACACGAGGGTATCTTATACACTACACGGTAATATATTAAACCCACATCTTCATTTATGTAAATGTTTAAACAGATGATACTGTTTTAAATGTACTTAAACCTTTTATATTCAGCTTTTTATCATATATGCAAGGTAGCTAATAAAATGAATTAAAATAAAGATGTAACAAAAAATTGAGATAAAACATCAGAACCACATCCTGTGGAAATTACTCTTCCCAAGTGATGACTTTTTTCCAAAAGCAGAGAAAAGAAACATATACATCAAGTAAAATTGTATGCCAAAAAGAGTAACACATCATAAAAACAAAAATGACATGTGACTTCCATGTTTGTGGGAGGGCCCAAAGCATGGCCCTCTGACAAAGTACTTGCAAATGGGCATATTTTCACACAAGAATGGCCCAGACTGTTTAAGTGAGCAGTAGGCAAATTCAGTGTTATCTGAAGGCCAATCCCCTCTCCCAGCACCCATCATAGGATATACCTCATACTTAAATCGAAAGTGCCCAGGAGCTCACTTCTTCTTTCCTAGATGCATTGTTTTTGGTCAATAGGTCTGTCTGGAGAAAGGCACATATTTTGTTTCAAAAGAAAGTCATGGGTCAATAACAGCATGTTGAATAATGTCCTGGAACAACACCAGCGTTACACAGCTCTTTTCCGCTCGAGTAAAATAGACAGATGGCAAACCCAGATAATTTATATTATTATTTTGGTATTGTAATGGTTCAACAACATTCAAATTGCATTATATACTGTATAAGTAAGCAAGGCTTTCATTTGCAAAGAGAAACACAGTAGGACCCCTGTATTTCCTGTTTTAATGTGGTTTCACTTAGCTGTGGCTAACCACAATCCAAAATGGACAGCCCCCTCATCATCTCCCCTCTCTGCCTCTTCAGGCCAGGGAGCAGTAGCACATCCTATCAGCAGCTGTTTTAAGGAATGGAACTGAGTCCTCATTACCTCTGACAAGACAGGCTGCCAGCAGCTCAAGTGCTCCTCAGCGCCTTACTCCTTGCCTTCTGCCCACTTGTCATTTGCATTTGGAAGGCAGTGTTCACTATTATCCACGGTTTCGGGCATTCATAGGGGGCTTGGAACCTATCCCCTACAGATACAAGAGTCATACTGTACAATATGAATTGTTGAAAATTCCTACATGTCTTGCATTATAGACCCTAAATCATGTAGTAGAGATTATTTCCAAAGTCCCTTTGAAATACTGTATACAATATGATTCTGTGTCTGTAGATTTTTAGTATGTGAAGGATGGGCTAAATTCCATACTGTCTTTGTTTTTGTTATTTCAGCTTGTCTTACTTTCAGACTTGCTTTCAGCTGGAAGCATAAATATGTTCTGTTTCCAGTCTTTTTAATAATTAGAACATCTCATGGTTTGTCTACACAGCTAGGCTGGAGCTAGCAAAGTAGGGCCAAATCAAAACAGTTGGTTTGTTTCAGGCAATCTCCTGTGCTGGAAATGAACCAGAAGAGAGCAATACTAACCACACCAAGAAAGTAGAAGCCCCTGACAGGAGCCAGAAAAGTGAGGTCTGGTTTGCTCCAGCAAAGAAATTATCTGATCACTATCTTTAGGAGCAAACCATCTGGTCCCTGCAGCAGACCAAACAGCAAGCCAAACAACATGTAACCAACCTCCTGAACTACGTACTTAGAAATTTTAGAAGTTCATTTTGTGAAAGCACTCTAGCAAAATTCGACATACCGCTGTGAATTTAAATCTCAGGCAGTCAGAGGGCTGCATAAAGTAAAATTTGAATTTTAGAGAAAGTCCACTATGACATTGGGAACAATTCTCTTACATTGGATCATTAATAAGAAAAAAAGAGAGAAGTAATTGTCCTTTAGAATAAACCACTAGGTCTAAGTGTCTCTGGGACTACAGTATTTCAGGATAACTACTTGGCCTTTCGATGCATTAAACAAGTTTAAAACAAAAGAATTTTACTGATATTTTACAGTTTTATTTCAACTGTTTGAAAGGAAGCACAGTTTGCAAATTGTATTACAAGATAATCTTGTGATGTGACACCCAGCAACTTGATACTCAAGCTTAGTTTAACTTGATCAGATCAACTTTCCATGTCAGATAGATGCCACTGATTACTGTGGTCCTCTCTGAAATTAAATGCTTAAAGAGCTACTTCAGATTGAAACTATTATAGATTTTGAAAGGTTTTCTTCAGAAGGTTACAGTAGTCTTTTTCCTATGTTAAATAATCTCAGCTGTGCATGTCTGGTACTACAAAAGGAGTAGGAAACTGAAAGGTAATGTTGTCTAATTCTCCACCATAAAGCTAATATAGTAATCTCAACCTTGGGTCCCCAGATTATCTTGGACTAAAACCCAGAAGCCTTCACCACTAGCTGTGCTGGCCAGGCTTTCTGGGAGTTGTACTCTTAATATCTGGGGACTCAAAGTTGGAAACCACTGGGCTAATATTTTCCCCAAATTTTACTCAATTCCAACTGCCATGTCTACGGAAAGAACAGGTTAATAATAATACCTGTGCTATCAAGTCAATTCTGACTTATGGTGATTCTTTTCAGTTTCTAGGTAGAGGGTACTAAACAGGAAATCCCTAACAACACTGGTTCATGTGTTGATAATCTTGAAGATAGATTATTACGTTGCTCTCTACATGGGGCTGCCCTTGAAGGTGGTTCAGAAGCCACAGCAAGTGTAAAACACAGCAACTAGTCTGGTGTGTGGAATATTAATATATGATCCCATATCACCTGTCCTGGTGTGTTTATACTGACTGCTGGCATGCTTTTGGGCCAAGTTCAAGGTGCTGATGTTGATATTTAAAGTCTCAAATTGTTTAGAAAGCCTTGCTACTTGTCTGAGCACCTCTCCCTCAGAATTACCACCTGTCCCACCTGCACCTCATAGACTGGGATGTTAAGGGTGGCCACTCCAAGGGAGGGCCAGAAATCAACAACACAAAACCAGGCCTTCTCTGTGTTGGCCACATTGTTATGGAATTTGCTCCTGATAGAGATGTGACTGGCTCCTTCTGTCCTTGGCTTCAGATAACAACTCAAAACGTGGCTATTCACACAGGCTTTTCAGAGTCTTAGCTCAATCTAATTTAGTTTTTGATCACCTATACCCTGTGAATTTTGGAATAACTGTTGCTATTTTACCATCATCAACTGTATCTTTGTATTGTTTTATTTATATGTATACATATTTATTTATTCATTAGTTGTTTTATTCTTAGAGATTTGGTTTTGTGTGATGTTTTATTAGTTTATTACTCTAGCTTTACTATATATTTATATTATGTTATTGTAAGCTGCCCAGAGGTGGCCTGGCTAGTAGATGGGATCGAGGGAGAGATCCCACTCACTGAAAGACTGTAGCTTAGTGTAATAACTTGCCATGAAAGTAGACTCATAGAATTTATGGAATTTACATAACGATTTATTCACCTGATCCCTACTAGTTAAATAGGTACACTATAGCTGTGACTATCCTAAGCAACAGAATTTCAACTATAATGAGTTCAACTGAGTTTACTCACATGTAAGCAAGTTTAAAATTACAATCTTAACATATGACCAGAAGATCGTCCTGGGAGACATGAACACTGCCATACCATTGCAACTTGCAGTTAAATGACTCCCATTATTCATTCAGAAATGTTTAATTATCCTGGGAAGATGTGTTTCAAGTGACCACATGCCACATAGCCCCCTTTCCTCTATTATTATCATCCTCTTACTTGCCCCCTTTGCTGACAAATTATTTTAAAAAAATATTTAGCAAGTAAAATAACACATTTAAATATTTTACATACAGTACCTTGAAAATCATATCAGGGTGGCCACAAGGTGGATACGGCTTTATGGCACATAACAGTAACAGTATAAAGGAGACTGAGAAACTTTGTATAGCTGCTTGAAGGGCAAATATGGTACATGCGACTGTGTTCAACAGTGGGAGTGACATCCAATCAGCAATAGTACCAGGATACTTTTATAAGGATTAATTCAGCTCTCTGCATGTTTTGCTCCTTCAGCAGGTACACTGCCTGCAGTTGTCCCTTCGGAAGGAAACACAAGTAGACAAGGAAACACAAGCAGAGGAGCCCAGCCCAGAAACAATAGGCCCATTGTGTGCTCAAACCCAGGGTTCTTTTCCCCTTTCCTCCATCTTCTCCCTCCTTATGCGGGTTACAGGTGACCCATGTTGAACCCAGAGGGCAGAAAAGCCCCCACACTCCTGATGGGTCTTCCTGCTAGGGGTGCAGCAAGCAAGGATGCAGTTGTGGTGAATCCCAACCACCCAGGAAAGCAGCAACAGTTTCCCAAAAACCACTTCGCTTTTAACCAGTGAAAGAAGAAAGAAAAGCAGAAAACACACACTTTTATCTATTGTACCGTTCAGGATGATGCGATGCAGCGTTAAGGGGGTGTAAGTAACCAGTGCCTCACAGGCAAATGCCCGTCCCCCCCCCGTCAAAATTAAAAAGGAAAGCGACCTTCGGAAGACACGAAGCTAAATAAATAAATAAAAATTAAAAAGTTCATTTACTCCCGAAAGCTCGTTGTTTATGTCGTTTAGGAAGCGCTGCTAAAAAGCTTCTCGTGAGGAAGAGCGAGCTTGGGGCTCCCCTCTCGCCGCCGTCTCTGAGGCGAAGAGCTGCCTCCCCTCCGCAGCGCGTCAGTAAATTGACCTGTTTGGATGGGGGGGGGGCGGCGGCGGAAGCTGATGGTTTTAAATCAACTTTCGCGGTGGGCCGCCTCGCCCACGTCGCGGAGTGAGGGGAACCACCACCACCTGTCCTCCCTTAAATTAAAAAAAAACAACAACAACGAACGGGAACCGCCACAGGACGTGCCTTTCCTTCCCGCCCGAAGGGGGCAAGACGCAGCGGGGGGGGGGGGGAAGGATTTCTGAGGCGACAACGACGGCATCCTAGTAACGGGGAGGGCGCGGGCGCCGATTCACCCGCTGTGGCGGCCCTTTTCCCTGCGGAGGATTCCCCCCCCCCGCCCCCCTAAGTCACGGAGGACCCTGCGATGGCGGAGAGGAGCGAGGCTGGAAAATAAGCCCCTCACGCCCCGCGGCGCCTCCTTCCCCCGAGCGGCCTTAGCAACGTTTTCCCTCTGACGGTGCGAGGAGGCTCCGCTCCTGGGGTTAGAAGAGTCCCTCCGGCCACGCTCATCCACAGGCACTCCCGTGCCTACGTTACACCCTGCTGACACGTGTTTTTTTTTAAAAGAGCATTAACCACAGTCTTTCGTGATGGAGACTTTTCAGACGATGCTTTGAACCGCTTTCTTCCTCGAAGAGAGAGAAATAGACACGTACATCCATACATTCCTGAGTGATGTAGGTCCTTAGGTCTGCTCCTATGCATTTTCCAAGATTCCCAGAGGTCAGGAGCGCAAAAACTTAAGAGAGTACATGCCAAAAATAACCTAAACATTTCAGGGAATATTGAAGGGGGAGGGGAATGGGATGTTTGGGAATTAACTGGAGATGGAAAAACCTGCAAGGTGGGGGTGGAAAGCTACCTTTTCTTTCATTGATCGCCATAATGTTTCCTTAAACAGTTTAGCCTTTAAGGCGTGTTCAGCTGGTAGAAAGGATGTTTACTTGGAACCCCTCCTCTCATTTTCTGATAAAACTACAGAGAAGCTTTGCTGTGTGAGTGTTCTCTGGTTTAGTTAACATCTTATCCAAATAACTGGGATGCCAGAAGAATAGGTTTTCCAATGAAATAAAATGCACAGGGACATGGGAATTTCTATATAAATGACAAAGTAGAACTTAACTCCAGTGCTGTAGTCAATGTGCTCCAGCATATTTACCTGGAAGAAAATACAGTACTGTATTTTGAAATGAGGTCAGTGTTGAAATGTTTATCAGAAAAGGCAAAATTCATGGGTCTTTCTCCCTGCCAATATTTGCCATTATTCCTTATCACCACCAGTTTGCTCACATCCCTCCCTCTGTCTGATTCCCTTGTTCTTTCTGCTGCCAAAAATCTGCTCATCCTGCACTTTAGATCTCTGACCACTGGATGTGTGGGGGTGGATTACCACTTCCTCTACTGGGGTGCCATGACTCTTGACTACTGTCTTCAAGAATGAATTCATCTTCTCTCTTGTTCCAAGATCTTGTTGCTCTGTGCTTTATTAAAAGTCTCAGATTATGAGTTGGACTTTTTAAGCTGTTATTTTTTAGTGTCTATACAGTTTACTATTTTTTCATGTGATTGTTGACTTGTACATTGCTGAAGGTTTTTTATATGTTTATATTGCATTTATATAATTCAGGTGAAGGCAAAGATGTTTCAAAGGGAATTTCAGTCCCTTGTGTGAAAAATTAGGTTTTAATTATGTATTACAATTAGGATACAAATAAATAAGAGATAGCCTTATACTCATCAGCCACAAGCCTGGGGAACTTGTAGTCCTCCAGATATTATTAGACTCCAATTGACAATCAGCCTGGTCAGTGCCAAAGCTTGATGTGAATCATAGTTTAGCAACATTTGAAGGACTAAGGTTTCTGCATCCTTCCTACTAGTGGGGTGAATATAATAAAATATGATAAACAAACAAGTCAATAGGATTGATTTGTTTTTACAATAGCCCCCTTCACTGTCATTCTCTCATTGCACAAAAGCTGGCCAAACTCAGGATCTGGGTCTAATGATGCCCCATAGGAAAATGATTTCTGATTATCGCGACCAACTTCATTGCTTTCACACAAACAAACAACTCAACCCTTGCTGTTATCTTTGTCACTCTAATAAAACATCCGTATTTACCGTAAGTTAGAATTTTTAAAAAACCCTTCAAAATGTCTAAGTCTGATCCTCTCAAGAAGCTACTTTCCCAGAAAAGAATGGCAGTTGCAGATGGAACTGAAAGTCCTGAAGCTTCAACTTGGAAAATTCTCTCCTACATCCTCAAGAGAGATAAGACTAGCACTGATCTTGCTTTTTTTTCCCCTCTTTTTTCGGGGGTGGGGGAGAGGGGAACATTCATTTTTGCTAAGCCAATTGAAAATTTATGGCCAGTACCCTATTGCAGAAAATCAATGGAAGAGCAATCCCTTTTCCTGGGAGGATTCTGGGACATAGTAGCTTATCCAAAAAGGGGGCGTGGTGGCGCTGTGGGTTAAACCGCAGAAGTCTCTGTGCTGCAGGATCAGAAGACCAGCAGTTGTAAACTTGAATCCACGTGATGGAATGAGCTCCTGTCGCTTGTCCCAGCTCCTGCCAACCTAGCAATTCGAAAGCATGTAAATACGAGTAAATAGGTACCACCTCAGTGGGAAGGTAACGGCGTTCCGTGCCACGTGGACCACGGAAACTGTCTTCGGAAAAATGTTGGCTCTATGGCTTGGAAACGGGGATGAGCATCGCCCCCTAGAGTTGGACATGACTGGACTAAATGTCAAGGGGAACCTTTACCTTTACGTAGCTTATCCAAGGTCACACAGGCTGTCTTTTCTACTACAAGGCACAGTGGGGAACTGAAGCCTAGGCCCCAAGCTCCGCCGCCAGGTAGCCAGTTTCCCTGTTCTGAACAGCCTGAATAATCTAGCCACTCTAGTACACAGCAGGCACTTCCAGATGTCATTCGTTTGCAAATCCCACTATACTTCACCACTCTATGCTGACAGTAACATCTGAAAAACTGCAGTTTGCCCATCCCATCTTAAAATAACAGCTTTGAATGCTGGTCTGTGAAGTGCAATTTAAAATATTTATCAGAAGTGCAATTTAAAAAACATCATCTAGAGAGGCATTTCAGATGTCACTGGTATGTCCAAAGGAGGGATGGGTAGCTTGTAGCCCTATCCCAACCCACATAGCTGCTGGACAGTATCTCTTGTCATCCTTGCCACTGGCCAAAGCTGATAGCAGCCAGTTATTATCTAGAGGGTCCTAGGTCCCATAATCCTGGTTTAAAGACTTTTCAACAGAGCACGGACAGAGTTCCTACTCCTGTCCTCTGAAGATGCCGGCCACAGAGACTGGCGAAATGTCAGGAAGAACAACCATCAGAACATGGCCAAAGAGCCCGAAAAACCCACAACAACCATCACTTTTCAAAATACTCTCAAGTCATACAGCAACCTATATTTGAATGCTTTCTTAGGTTCAAGAGTGACTTGTATAAGACTAAGTAGTTTGCTGTTTAAGAAACAAAAACTCAACTTGAACCTGTTGTACTTTGCATCCTGGGCCAAGAAAAGAACCTGCTTAATACTGATGGAAAATTCAATTTCAACATTAAGTAACAGATAAAATTTATTTCACTAGATCCATTGTTAGGTGCTATCTATCTGCAATAGTTTTTCATTAGCAAACAGATGAAGTTCCTGCTCAAGCTAATAGAATATGATAGATATCATTCAAAAGAAGCAGTTGCACAAAACAAAAAACATTTAATAAAGATGTACATAAAACATTAGTCAATTTAATATAATAATGCACAAACACACTTAAATTATTAAATCCAATCTTCATATGGCTACTATACAACCACCTTATACCTGTTTGAAAGGACTGGAAACTCATCTTGTTCCAGATCACAAATACATATACAGGGTTAGATTCTTCTGCAAACAGAAGGGCTTCTGCTCACAGACAAGACTGCGCAGGCTCCCTGGGCAAACAGAGAGTGAGGAATTTTCACCGATTCTCCCTTAAGCCCAACCATGCTGTTTCAAAGGATAACTACAACCCTTCAGAGCAGCTCTTTCAAGGTAAAAATCACTTCTTTTTTGTTATCTAGCAAAAAACATGAAAGAAGTTCCAATCTCTAGAACATGGAATCCAACCCCTTGTTTGTAAAATTAGAAAACAGCATGTTTTGTATAGTTGTTGCACAAAAGATTTCAAGAATATATAGCTGAAAGAGTATGCTCTCTTGAATATCTGCTCACTCCTTTTCATGCTCCAACATCAGAAGTGGTTGCTTTATATCTATAGGAATACAGCTTGTTGTCTGCTCCACCACTCAACAGCAACTACAATGAGGAGAAAATAAATCTTATTATAGTGCAACATAAATAATCACTTGTTTCACAATCTCAACACACATGAGAAACACAAACAAAGAGTACCATATTGAATTTTCTAGTTTTTATTTTATGATCCATCTTTAAGTACAAGTGATTTTCCCCCCTTCGGGTGGTTTACTTTATTTTATTTTTTGGCCAATTGTGTCTCTATGTGTTTTGTTTTTTGGGGTGGGTTTTTTGGTGCCAGGTATGTGTGTTTGGGCCACCTAATGTTCAGGAGCAGAAACTTCATGATGCTGAAGGATATTATTTAAATCCATAATACAGAAATGCTATAAAAAAAAAGGTGTTACTAGATGTTTTTGCAAAATCACTTCTTTCAACACAGTATAAAAATAAACTACCTTTACTGTTGTCGTACATAATTAAAATCATTTATTTTAAATTTAAATGTATTAGAGAAATATTTCATTTCATGTAACATTTCATGTTAAGCCTCAGAATTGCCCTCAGTTCCAATCCCATTTCATCTGTTTTTGAATAAGAAATTCTTACCCCTGTTTCTGTCCATTCCACACACAAAACCTTGTCTTCGTGTGCAGCCAAGTCATAGAGGGGAGCCTTGCAACTGATGAGACACAGATATTGAAGAAAGTCATGCTACTCATATTACACGAAAATCAAACTATCTTGATGGCAAAATGCTGGAATAAGTTATTACGTTTCTTCAGAACAAACTTCCCCATCAGAGTTTGTCATTTAAAAAAAATTAGAATTCCTCAAGAACATGTGGCCTTACTTTAAAATTTTGCACATTGCTTGACTCCAGCCGCTTCAGGAATTTAATAAATAATCCTCGTTCTGAGGTCAAACTATTAGAAAATGGGGTTATACTACTACAGTGGTGCCTCGCTAGACAGTTGTCCCGCTTTAAGAAGAAATCACTTTACGAAGGTTTTTTTGCGATCGATTTACCCATCACAAAACAATGGTTCCAATGGGGCTTTTTCGCACTACGATCACCAGCGTCCCCTTGGGCACTTCGGAGGCTTTACCTGCAAAGGCAGAAAAAGCCTCCAAAGTGCTCTAAAGCGGGCGGGGGTGGTTTTGGGGCACCCCCACCAGGGCTCTGATGGTGCAGGGGAAGCCATCAGAACCCTGGCAGGGGTGCCCCGAAACCACATGCCCTAGCTTTGGGGGTCCCCTGGGGCTTACCTTGCACCATGGGAGGACTCGCGCGGGTCCCTCTGCGCAGCGATCGTCATTTGCAGAGGCTTGTCTGAAACCAATTTTAAAGTTCCCGCCTCTTCCTCCAGCCTGCGGCAAGCCTCAGAAGGGAAAAATGCAGGAAAAGCCTCCAAAGTGCTCTAAAGCAGGCAAGGGTGGTTTCAGGGCACCCCCGCCAGGGTTCTGATGGCTTCTCCTGCACCATCAGAGCCCTGGCAGGGGTGCCCCAAAACCACCCGCGCCTGCTTTAGAGCATTTTGGAGGCTTTTCCTGCACCATCAGAGGACTGGTGGGGGACCTCCAAAGCTGATGATCGCGGGGAGGGGACCCCCCACCAGTCCTCCCATGGTGCTTCCCCAGCTCCCTACCCCTTAAGTTCCTTTAAAAAAAAAATTCCCCTAGGAATGCATTAATTAATTTTCAATGCATTGCTATGGGAAATTTGGTTTCGCAAGACGATGTTTTTGCAAGACAGCGATTTCCGTGGAACGGATTAACCTCATCTTGCGAGACACCACTGTATATGCACTAATGATACAACAATGTTTCATAAAATGGAAACAGTAAGTATTTTTTCCGTTTGCGTGTTATTCAGTGACTTGCAGGATATGCAACCAACAACGAAACCACAAGATTTAAGTTTACCTCCTTGTGTCCCAAAGTTTGACAATGTTGTCTAAAGAACCTGAGACGAGCTGTTGTTCATGTGTCGGTGACCACTTCACTGATGTCACCCAGCCAGTATGTGAGGTAAGAGAAAGTAGCACCAAAGAACCATCTGAAATAAAACAGATAAGACTTAGTAGCCACAACTGATGAAGAGGCACATCACTCATTTATCATTTGTAAGCCTACTGTAGAGGTCACATACTGCATACAGAAACCACCAATGGTTAACATTTTGTTGACAGCATTGCCACAAAGGAAGTTAAAAATAAACAAAATGCTATGGTACATAAGACAGGTTCCACTCTTTAGTGTCCCTAGTTTATCTGGGTGGGAAGTAGACAGTGGCAGAAATCTTGTTGTTTAGCATAGTAAGTCACAACTAGAGTAGAACTGAAAGGAATTTATGGAGGAGCTCCCTCATCAAATCCTCACTGATTCAGTGCACCTAACTCTTGTTGTGACTTACTACATTAAGCAACAGGATTTCACTCATTTCTTTGGCAGGAGAGATGTTGCCAAAAATACAGCCCCCATTCAATACAACAGGCCTGTTGATCTCCTTTTCAGATGTTCCACAAAACTCTGCTGCTCATATTATTCATTGCACAACTACATCACTCATGAAATGAATTGTTTGATTTGATATGGTTCCTAAAAAGAAAGAAGCATGGCAGTGATATTATAAACAATAAAAGACAGAACATCCATAGGCTAGCAGTGGGAACATAGAAAATTGCCTTACACCAAGTCAAATTATTTGACCATCTAGGCCAGTATCACTTACTTAGCTGTGGCAAACCTTTGGCCTTCCAGATATTTTGGTCTAAGACTCTCAGAAGCCCCAGCCAACATGATCAGTCGCAAGGGATTATGAGAGATTATTATCAGTTATCTATACACTGGAGTGGTTTCCTATTCCCTTCCTCTGGGGCATCCTGGAAATCTGCAGCTTGCCCAAGGCCACACAAGGCCACCCACTGGCTCTTCTCCCTGGAGGCACAGTGAGGAAATTGGCTCCACAGCCAGTTATCTAAACCAGTGGTCTCCAACCTTGGGCCTCCAGATGTTCTTGGACTACAACTTCCAGAAGCCTTCACCACCACCTCTGCTGGCCAGGATTTCTGGGAGTTGAAGTCCAAGAACATCTGAAGGCCCAAGGTTGGGGACCACTGATCTAAACCACTGAACTAGCCAACCAGAATTAAAATGGCTCATGTCAATTGAAAAAACAAAACAATTTTATTTATTTTTAGAATGGTCGCCCCCTTTTTTATTTTGGAAAAAAAAAACACCAGGCTGCAGAGGCTGGAATATTGATCCTCAAAAAAGACCTTTTAAAAGGGAAAAACAGTAACTTTGCTATAAATTGAACATGCATGTAACAGGCTTACCAAGAAGAGCATTGCAAAATAGATACTTTGTTGAAGTTTCATAGGGGAAGGGAGATGTTTGGAAGGTAATTAAAGATCACAGAAACAGTCAAAATACAGGTTTTCTTTGAAGAGTAAAGAAACCCCAGGTTTCCTTTAAAGGAAGTGATGGAGCAACACTCTTCCTGACAGGTGGTGGGGCAGGGGGGCATTTTGCCAGATATCTTCAGAGAATTAGCACACTTTTGAAAGGCATGTCCAACACATTTTTGCATTACAAAAGCACAAGGCAGTTGTGTTTGTCCCAGCCCTGAGTGCTTACAGTAAGCATTCTCTCAGGATTTCTGAGACTAAGCTCCTGATACAAGCCTTCCAAGGGGAAATCAGCCCCAGGTTTGGGGCAATATAAGCTTTTGACCCTGTCAGTCAGGACCCAATAAGCTGACTCTCAGGAAGAGAACTTTTTAATTCCTTCCTGGCCAAATAGGTATTAGTGCTAGGAAAGGATTTCTGTGCCTGACTGTAAAAAAATATTTTAAAAACATAGTATTCAGTAGCTGTGAAACTACTGGTTTTTTTTTTTGCTTTGTGGCTGGCAGTGGTATTACTCTATGTTAGCAAAGCTTTGGTGTCAATATCCCATCACAGTCTTAACCATTCCACATGTTTTGTTGCTATATAATTGTTTGGCAATTAAAAACAAAAACAAAACTCCAGAGATGTTATATGTCACCAAATCACTTCTGATGTGTGATGACTACATGAGTTAATGACCTCATTAATAATTCTGCTCAAATTTTGCAAACCAACAGCATCTCATGTCAGGTTGTTCTCTATTCCTACTGCTCCCCTTCCAAGAAATATTATCTTTTCCAGTAAGTTCTGCTCTGGCTTTAACAGTTGCGGATTCCTTTATTGAGATGATGTGTCTCATGCTAGGTTTTCCTCTCATCCTACTGCCCCCCTCCTTTTCCCAGCAGTATTGATTTTTTTCTGGTCAGTTTATTCATCTTTGTTCTAGTGAGAGTTCAGGCTTGACTTGACTGAGTACCCACTTTTCTGTGTTTCTAGCTGTCTGTGATATTGGTAAGACTCTCCTCCAATGCTACACTTCAAATGAGTAGATCCTCCCCTCCTCCTTGGATCTTTCTTCACTGTTTTTTAGATAGTGTGGATGATTTTGACCTTGGTTCCCTGTGACAATATTTGCTCAGTTCAAGCCCTCCTTTTCCCCCCAAAAGGTGAGAGGAAATGTTTTGGAAAATATGCACACAATATATTTGGAAATTATAAGATAGCTTCCTGGTCTGTGTTCTGCAGAGCACGCACAGCAGCATTAGTTTACCTGAGAGATTAAAAGGCGTGGATGTTTCTCTACTGTATGTGTTGTACTTCCTCATACAACTTGCTTCACTTCTTCATTAAGTTCAAAATAGTCTTTCAAAATATTTTGGCACAGAGGAACTGCAGCCACATCCCAGTTATTTTTGCTTCTGTCCTCTCCCAGCAACCATAGTACAGATCATGTGCTCATTTTCTGAAATTCTCTAGCATTGGGTAATTTCATATGAGGGAAGTTTCTGTTGGAATTTGTTGTGTGTGTATATGTAAACTTCTGTTACAAAAAGGCAGGAAATTTAATTCTTTTCCCAACCTCCAGTTTATGAATGTGGAATATTGTACTTCTACTGTATATCCATGATTCAAAATGCCAGGACATGGCTCCATACTGCTGCACAATATCATACTCACATTGCCAGTAAAAAAAAAGGATACCAAGCTTTACATAGCAAATGAATTATGACAACACCAATGGCAGCAGTCAAGATGGTCTACAAGATACCCTTTTGTACTTACTACCATTCACACTTATTGAAAAACGGCATTAGCAATTTCTTTGAGTTTGCATAACATGCTACAAGATACCTTTTTGTACTTACTACCATTCACACTTATTGAAAAACAGCATTAGCAATTTCTTTGAGTTTGCATAAAATGTGGTTAACTGTTGAAAAAAGGATTCAGCTTCTTGGATTTCCCCCTGCTTGCTGTCTCTCTGTGAATGGCGCAGCAATATCAGGCCATTTCCTGGCATTTTGAATGGTGGATACAGAAGCACAATGTCCCACATTCATAAACTGGAGGGTTGTTTTTTGTTTTTTTTTGAAGAACTGAATAAAATGTATTAAACCAACATTGTAACCATTAAAGAATATGCAACATTATCTCATCCCCACACACTTTAACTCACCTTTGGTCCGAGGATCCCATAATCTAATGTGTCTGTCAGTGCTTCCAGAGGCTAGGCGTCGACACAGTGGGGAGTAGGATATAGAATTAAACACTTTGTTTCCAGTCTACGTAAGAGTAAAAGGAGTAGTCAGTAACAAACTGTTCTTTAGCTTTTTCACAAATCTTCTGTTGAAAAACCATTAAACAACAATCTGAGAAGCAATCAAGTTAATTGGCACACTCACCAAAGTTGATTTGAGCCCTCCTGTTTCAACATCCCATATCTTTATGGTGTGGTCCCAAGAAGCACTGCAAATTTCATCAGTATCTGACCAAAGTACAGAAGATACTGATTCTGTATGACCAGAGAGAGTTGCAATAGGAGTCTAGACGTGAAAAATAAACATTGAGAGGTTGAGCTATCGGGAATATTTCATTTTGTGAAACAAATCTGAGCCCTTCTAAGCTATAATACTATACACACTCAGTGGCTGAACTCCTGTTGCAGTTACACAAGCAACATAACTTTTAGATAAGAATTGATGCAAGTTAAGAAATCTATGTAGGAATTACAAGTTACATGCTGAGTTGCATGGCTCGGTATGCAAAAGATTTCTTAACTAATAGCAATTCACTTCCAAAAGTTACTGTATTTGTATTAACTGCCCAATAATACAATAATGGCTGAAATCTAGCAATGTAATTTATACCAAATATGGTTGATGCCATCAGCTGTGGCTGTTTTTCAAAAATTAAAGACTTTAGAACCCAACCTCTGAAAGTCCTAAGGTTTCCTTGGGATCCCTTTCATCTTGCAAGAGCCTTTGAAGGCCTCCGGGAGGGAGTCTTTAATTTCCAAAAATCACCACCACTGGGACGATATTACTACTGGCAGTAATTTTCAGAAGTTGTTGATCTCCAGTCATTACAATGTAATTCTATATAATCCAGTTTTGTCTTACTCTTGTTAGTCCCAGCTGCTCCGTTTTCTGTTTTTTTCTTGGCCTATTTGCCACTTCCTCCATTTCCATTTCATCCTGTTCATCTGTAGGCACTGTAATTAAAGTAAGATTATGGACCATAATTCTTATAATAGTTAGTCTCACATTGCCACAAATATGGCTTCTACTGAAAACTATTTATCTGGCTAAATTCTAACAAAGCTGAAACTAAAATAAGTGATTAACTCTACTTTGAAATGTTGAGGCCCAGTGTTATCATGTAGCGTATTAACTCATTCTTCACAGATCAAGTACTTAGACTCTTAAACATTCTACATCTGGAATTCAAAACAAACATAATTCTTCAGATATTCTAGAATACAATTTATTTAGCTTTGGCCAACATGGGCAAAAGTTTAAAAAAGTTAGGAATTTTAGTCCACAATATCTGGAAAGACCCAGATCTGAGAAGTGAGGTGGATTACATTTTTTAAAGGATTTTGTTGATGGTTTAAACTTTAAAAAATCCTTTAAAATCATTTAAAAATTGTAATCATTATTTAAATCAATTTGATTTTTCTCCAAATATCTAAAGATACCGTATTTTTCACTCCATAAGACGCACCTCTCCATAAGACGCACAAAATTTTTAGGAGAAGAAAACAGGAAAAATAATAATCTGTTTTCTCCTAAAAATTGGTGAGCCTTATGGAGAAGTCCATCTTATGGAACACACCCTAGGACCCTTTGGAGGCTCACCCAGCCCCCCAGGAGGCCAGAGGGGGCAAAATCGCCACCTTTTGGGACTCTTCTGAAGCTTCCCAAGCCTCAAAAGAGTCCCACAAGGTGGCGATTTTGCCCCCTCTGACCCCTGGGGGGGCAGGGTGAGTCTCTAAAGGGTCCTAGGGCGTGTTCCACGCTGGCCCCATGGGGGGTGGGGGGAGCAGCACAAGGCTCCGAGTGAGTCTTGCGACGCTCCCCCCACCTGGAAGCTGGCGATTTTGCCTGCGCTGGCCCCATGAGGGGTGGGGGGAGCGGCGCAAAGGTCCAGGAAGGCTCACTCGGACCCTTGCGATGCTCCCCCCATGGGGCCAGCGGGGGCGAAATCGCCGCCTTCGCTCCATAAGACGCACAGACTTCCCCCCACCACATTTTTTGGGGAAAAAGTGCATCTTATGGAGCAAAAAATACAGTATTTCTCGGGTGTAGTTGTACATGGACCCACAAGAATTTACCTGGATGTTAAATATATTGCTTTATGAATTCCATTCTCACGTTAAGTGTGATCCATAAGCACAGCTATTTGAAAGTTTAAATACCAGAGGAGGCAGGACAGGGAAGCTGAGACACTGCCTCAGAATGGGCACTTGCTGGAGGGGGCACAGTGTTCAACCACTAAACACCAGTTGCAGTGGTAAATGAACTGGACTGAATTGCCGGTTCGTGCCTATCTCTAGATGAGATATTAGTTGAACCCAGCCACTATTATAGTCAGTCAAAGTATTTCTCCCAAAACTCACTACTGCCATGGGCAGATCGCATTATAAACACACTACAACCAGCAAAAATATGTGTATTTGCATGTCATTTTACTCTTGCACTTTGGGTTCATGAGAACATGTTTGTGCATTGTAAAGGGCCTAAGAGACAAGGTAAAGGCATAAAAGTAACTTAAGGTGGCTGAAGATTTCTCTTACCTGCAGACCAGATTTTTAGCATCTTATCCCAGGATCCACTGCAAAACTAAAAAAAAAGGACACTTTTCAAGTAAAAGTGATATAACTTACTTTGTTATCCTTTGTAAACAGTATGTTTCTCTCAAGTGTGATTCAGAATAGACCTGACTCAAATGCATTAATTTGGTCCAGATATGACTCCAGCCTGAACAAGGCTACTGAGGTATGTACCAGACTGGAATTAAATCTGAGGAAGCTCCTCCCTACTGTCCAGATAGACCTTTGGTGAAGATGTCACAACAAGGAATATCAATTGTAACTGGAGTGTACAGAAATACAATTGCCAATGCTTCTTTATGTCAATGGATATTCATGGAATAAATCCAAAGGAGTCCCTAACTTGTCTAAGGGCTCTGCTGCTGTGCTGGCTTCCCAGTGCCACCTTGCTTCACCTACCAGTACATTTGGGAAGAGGATGAGGCTGGTGACAGTGATGGGTGGTTCTAAGTCTAGCTCAGTGGTTCTTAACCTTTGTTACTCGGATGCTTTTGAACTGCAACTCCCAGAAACCGCAGTCAGGACAGCTGGTGGTGAAGGCTTCTGGGAGTTGCAGTCCAAAACTCCTGAGTAACCCAAGGTTAAGAACCAGTGGTCTAGCTCACTATGAATTAGGCTGAAACTATAGAGAGCCCTAGACCAGATTTACACTGACCTCAGGGGGCAAATTCATGTCCCACATTTTTTAAATTGGTGCCATCACTGAAGATTAGCAAGATCAATAATCAACACAATGCAGTGGTGCTTCGACTTACGAATGTCCCAACTTACGACCATATCGAGTCACGACCAGCTCCGGCCGCAAAATTTTGCTTCAACTTGCGACCGGAGCTTCGAGTTACAATTGGAAAAAAGGTGGAGAAAAAAGCGGGGAATTCAAATGTACTAACCGTTGGTCAGCAAAGAGGCTGCTTCTTTGTACCTCTTTCGCCCCAACAGTTAAGAGAGTATGCGTCGGAGGAGGCTTCGGACTGCCTGGTGCTGCTTTCTGCTTCTGAGTGAGTACATACAGGGTTTTTACAGGGTGGGTTTGGGCTTGGGGGGTTATGTTTCTGTGCTGTGATTTTTTTTGTGTGTTTGTTTTTTCAGCCCTAGCGTGTTCCAATGGGGCTTGCTGTGGTTTTTTTGTGTGTGATTATTTCTTTCGGCCCCAGCACGTTCATCTTTCTGGAGTGGGTTAAGTTTGTAAGTCAAGGCACCACTGTATGTGATGAGAAACCTTCTAGAAACTGTACATAGGATGCTTTTTAGTTTCATGATGGAACGAAACTGAGATATAAATTTATGTAATAAGGAAATATGGGTGCATTCAGCACCATTCTCAAGCTCTCTGCAATGAGTTCTCACAAACTCCCAAATACATGCACTTTAATGAACCTTCAGGACCCAACTGCAACCCTGTTATTGCTGCAACAACAAGAAAGGCTGACAAGGAGTCACAGAAATGCATGATTTAGAAAGCACTTTTCTCAGCCTCCAACAGCATTCACAAAGGATCATCAACATTTTCACCCAATAATTGTTCTTTTACTTAAAACAAAAACAAAACAAACAAAAAATCCAAAACAGCTTTCAAAAAATTGAAAGAGAAAGAGAGCCCATGTTTGAATTTTATATCTCTGAGTGCTTTAGATAGCAGTGCAGATCATGGGCCAACTGCAAGAGTCAGCACAAGCTGTCAAGTTACCAGGAGATGGGACAATGTTTTGGTTTTAATGTTCAAAAACTGCAGCAGAGTGTAAAAGGCTCCCCAACCCTGCTTTTTCAAAAAGTGAGTTGGGAACAAGGTAGGAGAAGGCCTGCAACTCACTTTAGTCCTTGAGCCATCCACAGCTACAGATTCCACGCTCCCTGCATGCCCTCTGCAGCAGTGAAGAGCCTTCGTTTTGTTCTTTTCCACATTCCATTCCCACAACAAGATTGTCTGATCCATAGACGCACTAAGCAGCAAGCAGGACAAACTGTCTGGGAGAAAAAGGGGACAAAGATTCATACAGGAGAGCTTTCTAAGCCATCCAGTACAAGGGCTGCTCATGAACTAGGATAGAGGTTCAAATCTTCCCTTGGCCAGGAATAATCTTGGGCCAGTCATGAACCCTCAGGCAATCCTATCTCAAGAGGTTGTTGCAAAGATCAAAACACTTTAAGCTTTTGGAAGAAAAATAGAATACAAATGTAATAAATGAACAAACAATAATCTTAGAACTGCAGAGCTGGAAAGGACCCTAGGGATCATTGAGTCCAGCTCCTGTCAAGGAGGCACAGTGGGGGGGGGATTGAACTCCCAACCTCTGGCTCTCTGCAGCCAGATGCCTTAAACCACTGAGCTATCCAGCAGTTCAGTAGCAAGGAGAGAACTCTGCTCTGAGGTGGTTGTCAGGTTTCATCCACTAAAATGCCCCCTCCAACTGCTTCACAAAACACTGACGAACTGGCATACGATTTTTTTTAATGTAGCTCAGAGCAGAGGTGAGCAATCGCTCAGGATTCATGAGCCAATTATCTGCCGTGTGTAGGCACCATCTACAAAAAGTTAAATTATGTTTGGTTTCCTTAAAAATCCTTTGGGGAAAAGAAGATGTACTGGAAACAGAGTGAGGCTCTATCTTCTTTCAAAGGAGACAGCCACAACTTCCATAACCCTCATGTCTTTTTCTGGCTGGTTTCCCCCCTACACCAGTATGTGTATTTGGGAAGGCCCTGGTGCCTAGAAACTGGGCAGGTAGACCACATGCATCCCATGTGTTGCTCACATCTGGCTTACCCAGTATGATAGCTGGAAATATATAAATGTACAGATTTCCAGTTCAATAAGATTTATTCAGGGATTGTTTGCATGAAAGAGCAACTAACTCCAAGGTAATACAGGGCTTCCTGGACCATTTTGTATTACAGTGGTGCCTCGCTAGACAATGATAATCCGTTCCACTGAAATCGCTGTTTAGCAAAATCATTGTCTAGCGAAAAGCATTTCCCGATTGGAATGCATAGAAACCTGTTTAATGTGTTCCAATGGGGAGGAATAGTCGTTGTCTAGCGAAGATTGGCCATAGGAAAGCCGCTTTGTGAACCGCTGATCAGCTGTTTAAATAGGTGTCTTGCGAAGCTTAGGTCCCGAAAACACTCATTTTGCGAGCGTGAAGGGAGCTGTCAAATTCGTCGTCTAGCGAAAATTGGTTTGAGAAGCAGGGACCAAACATTGTCCAGCGAAATTCCCTCATAGGAATTACTGTTTTTCGAATCGCTATAGCGATTGCAAAAAGTCAATGTCTAGCAAAAAAAACTGTCATGCGGGGTAACTGTCTAGTGAGGCACCACTGTAATTTAGGGATAACATCTTTACCAGAGAGCAGTTGTTGTTTTAATTCCTGGAGACTCCTCACACAATTTAGACTCCTGGGAAGTAAGGGTTCTAAATTGTATGCAAAGCCTCCACACCTAAAG